GGGAATGAGAGCGGGGGATTGTGTAAGAAGGTGCACACCCACCTTTTGAGTAGCAACTAATAAATTTTCAGGTATTTGTTTTTTCTGTAGTTGAAAAATGTAGAGGATTGTTATAGGCAACAGAAACCACATTACCATGGTCTCATACTTTTCTTTAGCAATTTAACCTGCTTGTATTGTACATATCTAAATGATCTGGGCTAAATGGTACTGAAGACAGGACTTTACAATCCAGAATACAGTGCAGTTCCATTATCCCTCTATTGCTTTGTAGAATTTGTTGAAAGTGGACCCCTTATGACCACACTCTGGCCTTTGAATTGTGTGGTGAAATACAGCACAGTGCCTAATAGAAAGGCTTTAGCCATATGTCCTCTGTTTTCTCTATCCTCCATTGAGTGACACGGCTTTATTGGTAATGAGCAACTTGGGGTTACATTGCTGACTTCAAGAGAAATGGATACTAGGCACACAAATAGGAGGCTGTTTGTGTATAACCCTAGAGGTTATAAACCTTCGCAATTAACACCTTGCTGGTTTTGCTTGGTGTCCACATGCACATTTTTTTTTTTTTTTTTGCTTGAAGAATAATAATTCTGTCAACAACCACTGGTATACTCATCACAGATATTGGCAAATGGGAGAGACTTCCAGGCTTTTCAATAAGTGCAGGTTTTTTATTGGTTGTCTGACAGTCTAGCGGCCTGCAGTGACAACCCGCTGTGTTCCAGTTGGCAAACAGCGTCCCTATTCAGGTCATGCCAGTATATCTGGGGATTTCTTGGGCCATTACAGGAACCAGGGCTTCAGTATTCCTGCCCTAGTCTCTAGACTCAATATTGAGTACCTGGCAGACTTCATGCTGTTTGGGTTTTTATTTTTTTTATTCTTTTGTACGGAGATGTGGTCTTAGCAGCTGTAGTTGCCTTGTTATTTTTTTTTTTTTTTTTTTTTTTAGGGGCTGAGCTATTCTTTTTACTGCTGGCTTGCCTTATCTTTTTATATAATTTAACTAGCCACTAGGAGAAATCCTCTTTATTTTACTACGTGGGCTGTATGGTATTTATTTAAAATTTTTGTGTGCGTGTATATATTGCCAAAAGTATTGGGACACCCCTCCAAATCATTGGATTCAGATGTTCCAATCACCTCCTCCGTATAAAATCAAGCACCTAGGCATGCAGACGCTTCTACAAATATTTGTGAAAGAATGGGTCGCTCTCAGGAGCTAAGTGAATTCAAGCGTGGAACCGTGATAGGCTGCCACCTGTGCAGTAAGTCCATCCGTGAAATTTCCTTGCTGCTAAATATTCCACGGTCAACTGTTAGTGGTATTATAACAAAGTGGAAGCAACTGGGAACAACAGCAACTCAGCCATGAAGTGGTAGGCCATGTAAAATGACAGAGCGGGGTCAGCGCATGCTGAAGTGCACAGTGCGCAGAAGTCGTCAACTGTCTGCATAGTCAATAGCTACAGACCTCCAAACTTCGTGTGGCCTTCAGATTGGGCACAACAGTGCATAGAGAGCTACATGGAATGGGTTTCCATGGCAGAGCAGCTGCATCCAAGCCTTACATCACCAAGTGCAATGCAAAGCGTCAGATGCAGTGGTGTAAAGCCGCCACTGGACTCTAGAGAAGTGGAGACGTGTTCTCTGGAGTGACGAATCACACTTCTCTGTCTGGCAATCCGATGAATGTGCCTGGGTTTGGCGGTTGCCAGGAGAACAGTACTTGCCTGACTGCATTGTGCCAAGTGTAAAGTTTGGTATGGGGTTGTTTTTCAGGGGTTGGGCTTGGCCCCTTAGTTCCAGTGAAAGGAAATCTTAAGGCATCAGCATACCAAGACGTTTTGGACAATTTCATGCTCCCAACTCGGTTGAATCAGTTTGGAGATGGCCCCTTCCTGTTCCAACATGACTGCGCACCAGTGCCCAAAGCAAGGACCATAAAGACATGGATAAGCGAGTTTGGGGTGGAGGAACTTGACTGGCCTGCTCCTCAACCCGATAGAACACCTTTGGGATGAATTAGAGCGGAGACTGCGAGCCAGGCCTTCTCGTCCAACATCAGTACCTGACCTCACAAATGCGCTTCTGGAAGAATGGTCAAACATTCCCACAGACACACTCCTAAACCTTGTGGACGCCTTCCCAGAAGAGTTGAAGCTGTTATAGCGGCAAAGGGTGGGCCAACTCAATATTGAACCCTACGGACTAAGACGCCATTAAAGTTTGTGTGCGTGTAAAGGCAGGCATCCCAATACTTTTGGCAATGTAGTGTGTGTGTGATTTTTTTTTTTTATTTTTTTTTATTTTATTACAGGTATTTATATAGCACTGACAATTTTACGCAAGTCTTTACATAGTTGCACATTCACATCAGTCCCTACCCTCAAGGTGCTTACAATCTAAGGTCGCTATAGCGCATGCATACAGCGACAATTTTTAGACGGGAGCCAATTTACCTTCCAGCATGTCTTTGGAGTATGGGAGGAAACTGGAGTACCCAGAGGAAACCGCAAGCACAGGGAGAACATGCAAACTCCTTGCAGATGGTGACCTGGCCGTGATTCGAACCAGAGACCCCTATAATATAGTGTGTGTGTGTAATCTCTATCGCGCACCGGCGACTGTGCAGTTATAGACCTGAAGTGCTAGTTACAACTTGCTGTTTCTTTCAGCTGGGACTTGATGACACACTTTAATGGGGAAGAGGGCACACTGGCTGCGTTTATTCTTTCCACATACAGCAGTTGGAGGAGGGGGCGTGCATGTGAATACATTGTAATGCACTCACTCTATACCACAGTCAGTGCTTCCAGCAATAGTTCTCTGAAAAGATTCTCTGCACCACATAAGTCCTTAAGGCTGAACTGTGTAGTCTAAGGAGACTCTTCACACATGCAAAAGGATCTTAAAAGCTGGGATTTAAAAGTCTACAGCTTCTTCGGCTCTGAAACAACTTTTTTGGTCAGTAGTTACCACACTGGTGGTCCTAGAGCACCACCTGCAGTGGTCACAAAGCCATTTTGATTTTAAACCCTGGTACACCACTTGGGTCTATCAGTATCCTGGAAGAATTTGGACATCTTTTCTTAAAGGTGCCTGATTTTTTAAAATTCTGTCAGAGATCCTCTAGAGCAGGCATAGGCAAACTCCGGCCCTCCAGCTGCTGTGGAATTACAAATCCCATTAGGGTTTGTAAAACTGACCACCACAGACATGTCTCCCAGAGACAGATGCTTGATGAAATTTGAATTTGTAGTTTCACCACAGCTGGGGGGCCGGAGTCTGCCTACCCTTGCTCTAGAGCTGTCGCGAACCTGGTTGTTTTGAAACAAAGCACCTCCTTGTTACCCACCTTGTATGTAGATAATTATATTGCCTTTTCGGTCTGGCAATAGTTCACCCCCGCAAGATTTCTCTCAATTGTTTGGATGTGGTGAGGGCTTTCTGGGTTTACCTTTCGGCCCCTGTATCTCAGATCTGTAAGTCTGCAACCTGGGCTTCTGTTCACATCTGTAAATTCTACAAAGTCTGCCTCAGCGGATGCTAGTTTTAGCCAAAAAGTTATGCAAGCAGGTTGGTTACTATCAAAGCTGTGCTCTTCAAAAATCCTTTTTTTATTTTTGTAAAATACATAAAATAAAGGTTTAGCATGGTGGTATAAACGCAGTCTTTCTATGTGATTTGTGTGCATGTGTTTTTATTCTACATGGAGCTGGATTTAATTGTTTCACTTTTTTTTACCTATGCAGGGATTTGGCACAGAGAGAAAGATACGTCAAGCTGGTGTCATCGACTGAATTATTTTTTCCCATCCACAAAAGCACATTACCTAATAAAGTATGATAATACCACTGGGGTATTGTGAAGAGCAACATCCTCTCTTTGCAGCCTCTGAATTTGGAGAATCTTTCTGTATAACAGTTACATCTATTTTTAACACCTTCCAACTTGCGTTTAGCTCGGAAACTCCGGGGAAACCATTTTTTTTTTTTTTTTAAATTATGCACATTTGCAAGTGAGGATTAAGTTGAAGCCTTAGTATATTTTGTTTCCTTTTTAAAGAAGCTTTGATTTGAATTGTGCATCTTAACACAAACAATTTGGTTTTTTTTGTTTTGTTTTTTGTTCCCCTTAATTTCCAACATAAAAGTGTGACTTAACCCTTAGAAATTCTGCACTTGACACTGTTTAGCATATATTCTACCTCCCGTTACTGCAAAAAAATTCTCTCCCTTTTGCAAGAGGACCACATACTGATGGTGGAATATATTCTATTCAGCAATGCTTTGAAGCGCTCATTTCTTTCACTGAATGACAGCCAAATGCTCGCTTTTTTTATATATCAAAATCTGAATATTTTATTCAAGTGAATGAACTGAAGCGGTTTAGCATCTAAGCATTTGATTTGCATTTTTTTTTTTTTTTGTTGTAACAATTTTAGAACTGCAGATATCCTCAAAGGTGACATGTGCCATCAGTGTGAAGTTTAAAAATCTTTGCAAACGCACAGGGTTTTTTTTTCTTTGCTGCTTTCATGGGCAGCTTCTTAATGTTCATGAAATGTAAAGGATAATGAAATGTGCCTGAAAAGTTTGTCTTCTTTTTTTTTTTTCAGTTTACAGAAACCACTCGTCAAACCATTAACTTGTTTAGGCTTTTCATAGCTATACTGATATTTGCATCAGCATTGATAGACAATTGTTTTGTTTGTTTTTTTTCTTCCAACCTGCCATTACCCAGGCAGGCCTATGGCTATAACCTTAAAGCCTCCCCTCTCCTTCCCCCCCCAAAAGATTTTGCTGCCCATCACAAATGCTCAAGCCAGGAAGTACATTTATTCAAAGTATTTTAAACCAGAAAGATCAAGATTTATTTCTTCCTGGATTGTTGGAAGAGTTCTTGTGTTTTTCTATTTTTTTTTTCTACTTGATTAGGGGTTCTTCTGTCAAGAGACCTACCTTTGTAAAAACAAAACTTGGCTCCAGATTTCTGTTTAATGGCAAAAAAATTGAAAAATAGAATAAAGTTTTACCAATTTAATTTTGAAATCCCTGGTCTTATTCAACTATGCATGATACATTGTGTCAGCCAGTAACTTTTAATCACAAAATGAGCTTAAGCAAAATTGGGTACATTAGCAGATTTATTATTCAAGAGTTTGTGAGCCAATCTATTGCAACATTGACACTTCAATCACATCTCTTTATAAATACAGGCACTTTTTGTATCAACCATGTAGTGTAAATCAACTTTTGTGCATCTAGCTGCCTATTCCACCCCTCTGCAACATAACCTGTGATTGCAACTGTCTGTTTGCTGCTAAAGCTGATCGTGTTTTGTTTTTTCATTCATCCTCCGAGGCTGAACAAAAAGATTCCTCCATCCACACTGACAGCATGGATGAATGAATCTTCGGGTGTGTGCATTGTATTTATTACAGAATGAGTGTTATCAGCTGCCATAAGGAAACTGTTGTAAACCGAGCTACAGTCAACCTGTTTTACCTTAGTTGATAGGTTCTACAACTGCCCCATTCTGTCAGTTTTTATTGCTAAAGTGTGTCAAAAGCTATACAGTTTTTATCTGCATAGAACATACTAAGGGGAATGTATCAAAACTGGAGCAGACAGAATCTGGAGCAGTTGCCCATGGCAACCAATCAGCTTCTCAAGTTTTGTTCAGTTAAGATTTAAAAATAAAAGATAGAAGCTGGTTGCCATGCACAGCTGTTCCAGATTTTGTCTGCTCCAGTTTTGATAAATTCCCCTCACTGTATATTATACTGAAATGTTGCATTACCTCACAAAAGTTAAAGGTTTGCAGTATTTCTTGTAGCAAGTTTTAAGTGACACTAAACTCAGGAGTTAAAACTTAAGCATGTATTGAAGTACCTTAACGATTATCAATAATGTATCTTATTTGTGTATCACTCAGCCAGCTGTAGGTCCTCAAATCGTCTCTGAATTGGTGCTGACACTGTCCTTCCTTCTGGAGGGTGGCTACTTTTGTTCCACATTGTCTGTGTGTTGTAAAGTAATCACCACTCCAAGATCGCTCCGGTTGTACACTAAAATCTGAATACAAATCAGTAAACTAAATGCGAGATTGTAGTCCCACCTCGGGAGTCTTCTTGAAACGGTGACTACTTGCAACACACACAGGGACCATTGGGAACAAACGTAGCCACCCTCCAGAAGGACGGACAGTGTCGGCAAGAATTCAGAGATGATTTGAGGATCTGCATGGATCTGAGTGATACACAAATAAGATGCATTTTTAAAAGATAACGTACTTGAGTGCATTTTTGAGATTTAACTCCTGAGTTTAGTGTCATTTTAACACTTATGAAAATGTAAAAGTCAGTTCATAAAGATCGGTTATTGGCTCTTACAGAAAAAGAAGCCAGTTTGGCATCTTTGCCCTGGGCACTGCATGACATTGTCCTGGTACAGGTCATAACCCTGCAAATTTGATTAGCAGCTTCAGATGCCATTTGTGCCCAGAAGGTTTGCCAAAGCACTAGCCAAATTGAGTTCCTAAACTAAAAATGTGTGTTTAAAGGACAGGCTAAATGGCTGTTTTTTTTTTTTTTTGCAGCTAATGAAGTCTGTGCAGGACATAAAGTAGTATTTGTCAAAATGATCATGTATAAATGGCAATCTCCAAATGTATTGGTGCACTTCACACACATGTGACATGATTGCTGCCCCCTATCCAATGAGCAAGCTAACTTTCGACTTTCTCAAATGTAATCATATACATTGTTGTGGGGAAACATTTGATTTAGAACCATGTGGATATTCCAAGATTAGAACTACCCATTGTAATGGTAATCTCTGGAATTGTAACACTTTGTATTCCAGTATTTGGTACATGCACACAGGACACGTGAGCCATCTAGTGGCAAATTCAGTTTCTTAGATTACATCACTGGACGCAGGGAGTTAATTCTTAGACCACTGGGTTATGCAGCTACCTCCAGGTAAATTGGACAAATCAAAACTGTAGGACACCCCTGCATAACCCCTCCCACTCAAAGCCTGCCTCAGTTTTGTAGAAAGCAGTACAGCATGGATCACAAAAGAAGGTACTGTGATGTACCCCAATAAACTAATTTTACAGGTGAGACAAAAATCCTGTTATCTTGATTTGTACATCACAGGACACATGGAGTTAATTCTTAACTGAAGGCAAAAGAGAAAACCGCTAACAAGTCAAAGGAATAACCACCCAAACAGGGAAGGAAAAAAAAAAACAAACCAGGCGTGTCAAAGTATTACAGGACCACCCAAAGCTCCCTCTGCAGAGGCCCGAACATCCACCTGATGGAACTTAACAAAAGTATGCACCTTGCAATGGTTATCTACGTTTTAGGTGCGATTAGGGATTCCTGCATCAGGAATCCCTAATCTGGTGTTTACAAGTGACAACAGTCACCCATTCAAATTAATGATCTGGTGACAGTAGTTGCATGTAAACGCCTGCACACCACATGTAATGGTATGTGATATGATTACATGCGGTTAGAAAACACTCCCTGGGTGCACAATCATTGCGTCCAGGGAGAGTGACTGATTTCTAACCAAATGTAATCCTATCACGTATCATTACGTAGACCTAGGTGCTAGGATGAAGTAATAATGTGGAATTGTTCAAGAAACTTTTGGACGATTTCTTAAGGGACCGTAATATACAGGGGTACGGGTACTCCTAGAATGAGATCCTAATAGGTTGGACTTGATGGACTAATGTCTTTATGCAACCTCAAATACTATGTAATTACATGCGGCGTGCACATGCAACTGCTTTCACCTGATCATAATGTGAATAGGTGACAGCTGCTGCTTTTAAATGCCAGATTAGGAATCCCTAATTGCACCTAAAGATACAGGTGTGAATGTAGCCTAATGCATTTCCCACCCCCACCATACACATAAAAAAAACTAACCTTGCACATATAAAATAATACACTCTTCCCCCCCCCCCCC